AATATAATTATTTTTAATGAATTTTAATAATATTTAAATTTTATAAATTTATATATAATTATTATATTAATTTTTTTAGTATTATTAAAATATAATTAATTAATTTTTATTATTTTTATATTTTAGCAATTATTGTTTTTTAAAATGAATTCTAATGAGAAAAATATTAATAAATCAATTTCTATAATAACTAAAAATAAAAAAAAAAGTGGTGGTTGTTCAGAAGGTCCAGTTTGGAATTATTTTACTAAAAGAGAAAAAATAGGAAAAGGAAAATATCAGATAATATGTAATTTGTATGATGCATCTTGGAATTATAATGAACTAATTGAATTAGAAAGTCATTTAGCTAATTATTATTCAAAAGCTGATCCAAAGATTATTAGACAATTTTTTATAAAAATTCTTTCAAATACTTCTAAAGAAAACATTCTTAATAAAAAAAGAAAAAGCAACATTCAAGGAAATTTTGATCAATATGTTAGTATAATAGAATTAGATCAATAAAAAATTAAAAAAATTAATCTTGAGTGTGGCAATTTAGTGAAGTAGATAAGTTGTCAACCCTCCAAGTGGTAAGTTGAGAGTTCAAAACCCACCGATGGTGAAAATTTGGAAAACTACCTATGTTACATTAGTGTATACAGGCATTTGTGCAATGCTAGAGTTATACAGAGGAATGCAAACCAGCATTGGGCAGTGCAAACACAAGATAAGTCCTTGAAACCAGTACTACAACAACAGCTATCTATTGATCAGTTGGGATCAGTACCTATACCATGGACACACCACATAACTGACAGGTCATAGGGCATCTGTGATCATGTAAATCTGTGAACTGAAATAACTGAAGCCCACTTGGAAAGACCTAAGTAAAGAGGTAATACAGATCTTCAACAGTACTATTGTAAAAGCTAGACCTAGGAAATGGATACTAATGTAAAAGGAATTGGGCAGGCAAGAACCTCAGGTGAGGGGTACTATCAACCAGACTGCTAGAAGTCTTGAACTAAGAAAAAGAACCTTGGGAGACAGACTTTGGGATATCAAGGACAGGTCACAGTCCTATTGAGCTATCTGAATTGGAAGTCTGAGGCCAGAAACAAAGGTATACTAAAATACTAAGGAAATGCTGTGAAGTTAGT